TATGTCGTAGCTGCACATCCTTCTAGTTGCTGTATGCGGGACTCGGCCTCAGGATGAACGGAGAAGTGGTGCCTCGATGCGCACCCGGGATCCGAACCCAGGCCACCAGCATCGCAGCGCGCGCACTTAACCACCAAGCCACAGGGCCGGCCCTGTACCTTATCTCTTAAAAAATCAAATAAATAACTTTCTTTGACCACACATTCCCCTAAACACTACTTCCTCTTCCTCTCCCTCCATCCTCTCTTCAATCCATTCCAATCAGGCGTTCATCACACCCCGCTACTGAAATAGCTCTTGTCAAAATCACCGATGACCTCCACATGGCCACATCCAAAGGTCAAGTCTCAGGCCTGTCTTAATGGGCTTGTGAGCAGTATTGACGCACTTGATCACTCCCTCCTTGAAACGCTTTCTTAACTCGACTTTTAGGACACCACACTCGGCTCTCCTGCGTCACTGGCCACTCTTTCATTCTCATCTTCTTGACATCCTAACGTTGGCGAGCCCTAGAAATCAATCATCAGATCACTTCTCTAGTATTACTCAGTTCTTAAGTGATCTCATCCAGTCTTATTGCTTTATATATTACCCATATATTGAAGACTCCCAAATGGGTATCTCCAGCCAAAACTTCTCCCTTAACTCCAGGTTCCTATTATCCAACTGCCTACCTGACAGCGTCACATTCTGTCTCAACAGATAGCTCAAACATAACATGTCTTAAGTCAGATTTTGATGCCACCCTTCCCATCCCCCACTCCTGCCCCCAATACTCTTTCCATATTCTTCCTCATCTTAGCAAATAGACTCTCCATTCTTCCAAATTCTTAAGCCAAAATACCTCTGAGTTTTTTTTATCTGGCCTAGGTCCAATCCATCATCAAATCCTGTTACTCCAATCTTTGAAATATACCCAGAATCCAACCACTTCCCAACATATCTATTGCTATCCCAAAGCATTTGTTGCCTAGATTGTCACAACAGCGTCCCAACAACTCTCCCCACTTCCATCACTGCCCCTTATACTTGATTTTTCACATACCAGCCAGAATTAAACATGTCAGATTGTTACACCTGTGCTCAGAACCCTCCAGTGACTTCCTATCTACATTCTTACAATGCTTATAAGGTTCTATGTGATCTGATTCCTATACGTCTCACCTGTCCCTCTCTTCCTTTCTCTGCTTTAGTCAGAGAAACTTCCTCTCTCTTCCTCAAACATACTAAGCATCCTCCTTCCGCAGGGGTTTGCACTCACATCACTCCTGCCTGGACTGCTATTCTTTCAGATACCTACATGTCTCACGCTCTCATTTATCAGGTCTTTGCTCCGAAGTAGCGTTATCAGAAAGGTCTTTCTTGATCACCCTGTATAAAACAATACTCCGTGTAGCCCATCTCTAACTCTCTCATTCTGCTTTTTCTTCCTAACATTTATCACCACTTGACATTTGTTAGTCTTTCATTAACTGGAATGCAAACTCCATGAGGCCAGGTGCTTTGTTTTGCTCCTTCCTGTATTCGTAGTGCCTAGAAGAGTGACCCAATGAGTGGATAAATCAGAGTAAATCAGACAAATCAGAACAAATACTGCCCCTTGGCATTTGTTTACTGCATTCTGTTTTTCTTGATTTCTACACTATTGTCTTTCCTAGATCTCTTTAAATGTCTTCTAGACTCCCTGAGGGGCTCTTAATAGGTTATTCCATTACCATTCAGTATGAAGCAGCCTTGTTGGGCAAGTTCTCAAGCCCACTCACCTTACAGGCTTCCGGCCATAATTTACTACTGAATCCTCTGATCCTGTCTTCCCCAGTAGATTCCACTTTTGCCTGAAGCCTCCATCACTAGCTTCACTGATGCCAATGAGTGTGAGTCTGTTCTGTAGAAATGGACTTCATTTGGAACTTTTAGAAATTTACTCAAAATTGCAGTGAGGATGAAGGCAACAAAAGATATTTTCAAACTGAAGCCCCAAGCCACCTGCCATTGTGGATATGGTAGAGGGGATAATACCCAGTGCGTGTTGGCATCTGGCAAATGAGGTCTTCCAGCCTGACGCCGTCATTTCCTTGGCAGGTAGGTACAAGGCTGTTCCCAGTTTGGGAAACCTTGCTTTGCCTCATTTCTCGTGTTTTCTTTCAATGCACCACATGAGGGCGGTCTTTCATCATGTTCTACTTGAATTACACCAACGGTGGGTTGAAGTGCGCTTCAACAATTTAAATGGGAAGTTAAAATATTATGCCAAAATTGTTCACCAAAGTTAACGAAACTCTAGGCTTACAATTTCATCCCAAAAGTTGTGGGACCAAAACACATCCTTAAAAGTAAAGTCATCAGTTTAGCAATGATACAGAAAAAAACCTTCCAGATGGTTATATAGATCAAAAATAAAGTACTGTTTGTGGAAGACTGTTTCTAAATTTTGGGAGTACTATTTTCTTTCTTGAATTCATTCATTGTAGCAGATGTAGTATATAGATGTGTAGGTTTATTTCTGCAGACATTAAATTAGAAGATTGAGGTAAAGAAGAGACTTTTATTAGCTTTTCATTTCAAGGTATCTGTGTGTACTGTATACAAACAACAAAAGTTGAAGGAAGAGTAACACTCACATTAGGCACACTAGTCACTGTGTAGTAATTAAAACCAACATATATCATAAACAAACATAGATTACTAACTACTAAACAAGTCCCTTAGGTCAGACTCAGTCATTTCTTTCTCTGGACAATTCCCTTCTGCCATAAACCACAGAGAGGTAATTAAAAGAAAAATAGATCATTGAAAAGTTGGATGCTGTCTAGCCAGATTTAGCTCTAAAAATTTATCATTAAAAAGAGAAATTAAATTGTGTACAGGACCTTAAAGAATATTGTCTGGCATCTTTCTACACCTCTCCCTGCTTTACGTCCTAAGTGGCCTCTTGAGCCTAATCCGATCTTGCTATGATAACAAGTGTAAGAATCAGTTACGCTTCATAAAAACTATCCAAAAATGTATGATTAGCCTATTCTCTCTCAATTCATTCCTCGTGGAAAAAGGAAAGCACAATTCTTAAAAACTAAAGCAAGTCAAGGAAGCCTGAAAAAGAAACCTAGATGTGGCTACATTTTAGAAGGAAATCAAGTCTTGTGACTTTTATTTTCTGGCTTTGATCTGGTTGTCAGTTGGGATGGACTTGCCCAAGTGATGGCCCACAGAAAGGCCAAATTGCGAGTTTTTCTGTTTATCCTGCACCTCCTTTTTCAATAAGCATCCTTTCTGGAAGTCTAGGTCAAAGAGGCTAACTGGCGCAAAATACAGTGGAGTCTCATTCCAAATATTTTCCAGGCGTTTCTTCCATCCTTCCAGGATCTGAATTCGGGCATCCTTGGGAATGCGCCCAATGTTATATGTCAGTTGAGGTTCTAAGACTTGGAAGCCACAGAAATGCAGAGTGCCACTCTGGGGATACACAAAGCACAGAGGTGAGTCAGAACAAACCCTATACAGCTTGTACCATATACAAACAACAGAGGTTAATCTGGGCTTCCCAATAAGATACTCTGCTGTGGAACCTGAGGCACCCTGGAGAATCAGTTCATAGCTATACCTCTCTCACTTTCTGTTCTCTATACCTAGCTGTCACCTTTTAGCCTATTCAGCTGTGCTCTTCTTTAAATGAATGAAACCTTGAAACAGTGCCAGCCTGGGATCCTCTGCCAAAAGTGCCAGAAGTGCTACTATATGAGAGACAGTTTCAGCTTCTTGGCAGCTGACTCTTGCCAAGGCATGCAGATGTGCATTTCTCAGCCTTTCCAAATCACTAGATGAGTCTTAAATGATTAGTACTTATTCTCCAATATTAACATTAATTCTCCAATATTATAGGTAGCCACCTCATTTGCTTGTCTCTCCAACCCTCTTCCTTAGAAGAGATTATCTTGCGAGTTCGGCGACCACCAAAAAGCATACTTAGACCTCAGTTTTATTAGCTGGAGTAAATCATTTCTTAAATTTTCTTGGGCTCTAATAGTCTCTGAGACTGTAACAGCAACTTGGAAAAGGACAGGAAGCCTGGAAAGAGATGTCGGGTATCTGGAGAGAATCGGAGCCCGTGGCTATACAAATCCAGGGTCATCTGCACTAGCCCTTCGTGAGCAGAGGGCGGTGCTTGGACAGGTGCACACACGGGTTATTCTATAAGCACAGGGGCCTGGGAAGACAGGTGAGTCTTAAAGGAAGCTCCCTGTAGTTCTGACTCATTACAGTACTTTCATCTTCACACCTCAGGTCTGTTTTCTGCTGCTATCTTAAGGATCTGGAGCCCATAGAAAGCTCACTTAATCCCCCTGAAAGCTCACTTAATCACCCTGAAGGTTCACTGAAAACGAGGTACCTGAATTGGCCAGAGAAGGATATTCATGTCCCCGTGGATGCCCTGCAGAGAGTACATGGGGCCGCTGCCACCAGTGGTGATGGAAAGCACTGCCTTCTTGTTCTGTAAGAGAAAAGTCATTACCCTCCACATCTCCTTGGTAACAGGAAGTTAATGAACAGCCCCAGGGAAAAGAACACACAAGTCGGCCCTATCTGTTGTTTATTTAACTTCATACGTTGGCTGCTCTGAGCCATGCAGTATGACTGCAGAAGTACCAGCCTGGAAGATGGTATGCAGACAGGGAGCCAGAGGCAAGCCCAGGATTCCATGCTCCCGGGTGTGGCAAATCCGGTGAAGGTTATCATGGTAATGCAAAATCAATGTTGACTGCTGGTGCCTAGGTGGAGTAATTTATTGTTTTTATCTGTCTCTCCACAGTGCTAGGCATGTATCTAGGCATGTCATCTAGGAGGTATCAAAATGTTTCTTGTGTGGTATTTGGGTCTTTGAAAAACAAAAACAGACTTTCTTTTTTAATTTTTATTATGGAAAATTTCAAACATACATAAAGAAGAGAAAATAGTATAATGATGCATCTACCACCCAGCTTCAACTCTCAGTATTTTGCCATTCGAGTTTTATCTAATCTCCTCGCCCCTTTTTTATCCTGGAGTATTTTAAAGCAAACCCTAAACATCATGTCAAAATAGCTATAAAACCTTTATTATGCATCTCTCACAAAGGGACCTGGAGCCTGATCTTAGTATCTAATTGTACTCAAAACTCTGCATCAAGACAGAATCTACCCAGAATCCAGCTGTTAGAAAAAGCAGAACCATCCACCTACCTGGAAAGGTCCCTTGTCATAGAGGGCAGTAAATGAGTAGGCGAACCCCCCTACGAGCACTCGATCAAACCAGCCTTTCAGGATGGCAGGGACGCCAAACCACTGCAGGGGGAACTGTGGGACAGAGGATAAAGAGGTCAGATCCGGAGCCTCCAGCACAGAAGGCGGCTCGGCTACTGCCCATGACGTCACTGAGGGGCGAATCTTTCTTCAGGCCTTTGTCATTCCTTCTGGAGGAGTTAGCACATTAAAGAAAATTATTGTCCTTGGTCAGTGAACTCGACACTCCTGTTCTACCTAAAAATATTTATACCACAAATATTGGGTGGGCCTGAAGAAAGCCACATGCAAATAAGATTTGTTTCTATGAAATAACCTTTGGCAGCAAAGTCTAAACACCAAGGATTGCAGACAAAGTTTGCCTCACTGTGTGATGCCTAAATCGATATTTCCCCAAGAGCTTGCTTTAGTAGGTATGGGATCAAAAATATGAAACACAAATCTTGGGCTCACGGATCTAACATCTTACCATTTAGAATAAACAGAACCACTCAAATATGCAAACAAATGATCGGTGTGACTAAGGGTTATCAGGGAATTCCCATGAGCAAGTCTTACTGAGCCTCTTGTCCTGACAGAGCAAGGACTATAGCAGATTTCTTCTTCTCCTGACTCATGATTTCAAGACAATGACAATTAGAACATGCCTGGAGGACAAAAACTAGGACAGAGAAGGGATCTGTAGGACTTGTGAGCTCTCTCTTTGAACGGCTGTTGACCTACAGAAATAGGGATAAGGAGGTAGGGTTTTAGAACAGGAAAAACACAAGATCGAGAGCGAGGTTTGTGTTCTCACCCTGAATCGGCCACTAACTTGATGCACCACCTTTCCCACACAAGCCCCATACCGTCCCTAAGTTTCATCCACCTCAGCTGTACAAAGACGGGCTTGAGTGACCTCTAGTAGCTTCTCATATTCTCACATTATGACTCTCCAACTGTGAGGGGCCAGATCTGCAGCTTTTAGGATAAATGTGTAGGTTGTTTAGGCAAGTAGATTTGGTCCCCTGTGAATGTTCTCTAGTCAGAGCTGAAAATAGAATCAGTTGGCTTGCGGGAGTATTAAAAGTTTACTCTCCCTCAAATATTTGCAAATCATATATCCGACAAGGGGTTAATCTCCATAATATATAAAGAACTCACACCACTGAACAACAAAAAAACAACCCGATGAAAAAATGGGCAGAGGATATGAACAGACATTTTTCCAAGGAAGATATACAGAAGGCCAATAGGCACATGAAAAGATGTTCAACATTACTAATCATCAGGGAAATGCAAATCAAAACTACACTAAGATATCACCTTACACCCGTTAGAATGGCTATAATTACCGAGAGAAAAATTAACAAATGTTGGAGAGGATGTGGAGAAAAGGGAACCCTCATTCACTGCTGGTGGGAATAAACAGGTGCAGCCTCTACGGAGAACAGTATGGATATGGAGATTCATCAAAAAATTAAAAATAGAAATATCTTATGATCCAGCTATCCCACTACTTGGTATTTATCCAAAGAACTTGAAATCAACAATCTAGAGGCTTATGCACCCCTATGTTCATTGCAGCATTATTCACCATAGCCAAGAAGTGCAAGCAACCCAAGTGTCCCTCAACTGATAACTGGATCAAGAAGATGTGGTGTATATATACAATGGAATACTACTCAGCCATAAAAAAAGACAAAATCATCCCATTTGCAACAATATGGATGGACTTGGAGGGTATTATGTTAAGTGAAATAAGGCAGACAGAGAAAGACAAACACCACATGATTTCACTCACATGTGGAAGATAAACTAATACACGGCCAGAGAGAACAGTTTGGTGGTTACCAGGGGGAAGAGGGTTGGGGGTGGGCACAAGGGGTGACGGGGCGCATTTATATGGTGACTGACAAATAATGTACAACTAAAATTTCACAATGTTATAAACTATTATGACATCAATAATTTAAAAAAAAGTTTACTCTCCCTCAAGTTGTTTGGAGAAGTGAGAAAACTGGGCAGGGGGCTAGCCCATATGGCACCTCCTTCCTCAAGAAGAATTAAAGCACTCCTTCCTCAGGACTCTTTATTTCCATGTTGAAAGACTGTCGTCATACATAGTACACTGATTTTGCTAGAATAAGACTTTTCCCTGTCATCTGCCGGGAACCTGTTACAATACATACACCAACCTGCAGTGTTTACATTGCCCCTAGATGTGTTGCTATTTTGCAGCACACAACTGTTACCCTGGCCCCTGGCCCCATAAGATATTAACCACAACCCTGCTCAGAAAAGCCTAACACTGTCCTCTTTAGCTTACAGGAAACCACAAGGAGAGGAAGGAGGAGATAGCTGAGACATATAATCAAAACCAGTTAAAATTGGTTGAGGGCAACATGGCGGTCTGACTTGACCTGACATTGACCCCACAGCTCATTATACGCTCATTGTAATATATTACCATGCTACCTAACACACCCACTGGCACGATGACAGTTTACAATTACCATGGCAATGGCAGGATATAACTAAATAAGGAAAGAAAAGAGGTGGCACTCTTGCTCCCCAGAAAAGCCTGCCCACTTCCCTGAATAAACTATAAATATTCCTCCCCTTCCTTACCTAGATCCCCCTTTTTTTTTTAATTTTTTTTCCCCCCAAAGCCCCAGTAGATAGTTGTATGTCACAGCTGCACATCCTTCTAGTTGCCGTACTTGGGACGCGGCCTCAGCATGGCCGGAGAAGCGATGCGTCGGTGCACGCCCGGGATCCGAACCTGGGCGGCCAGTAGTGGAGCGCGAGCACTTAAGTGCTAAGCCACGGGGCCGGCCCTTCCTTACCTAGACCCCTTATAACAGCTGCCTAATCACCCCAGGAGCTGAGAAGTTGATTTGGAAATATGGGTCCCACTTCTCCATTCTTTGGCCACCGAATAAAAGCTTGTGCTATTGAATGCTCAGCTTTGGTTTCATTTCAAATCCGAGACACCAAACAAGAAAGAACTCTCTGAGGAAGGGATAGATTGTGGGTACAAGGCCCACCTGTGGGCCCCTCCTCAGGGCTACTCTCAATGTGGGTCCAAGTCCCACTGGAGTGAGGTGAAATTGCTAACACAACCTGCACAGTTGTACTGATAGTAAAGAAAACTTAGGCATCAAAGAGAATCTGAATTTAAAGGCCACCAAGGTCCTTTCCAATTCTAAAATTTGCTGATTCTGAGACGCAGAACTAAAAGCTGCTACTGCTGCTGTCCTGGCTGCACTAGGACAAGATGCAGCAGTAAACATGGACCAAGCAGGCATCCTTTGTGGCACTAATGGTGTGTGGCTTTGATTCATAGCAACAGGTAGAATAAAGGACTTCAAAGGTTGAATTCTTTGCAGCTGATTGAATAATTGCAAAAACCACAGCTAGTATCACCCTTCTTGTGAAGTTTCCAGTGTCATGTATATTTCATCAAAGAGCTGACTGGAACTGGCAGAAGCAAAGTCATTGAGTACAGTCTGGCATTTTCAGGAACGATGATTGTCAAGGGGCATACACAGTTCCAGTACTGACTGCCAAATGGTGAGCCAGCCTCCGGAGCAGAAGGCACGGTTTGCTGCTGTGATACATTAAACAAGGCAATGCACTCTTCAGCTGGGAAGTTCCACCAGCAGAGAAGTCCATCTCTCATGCATCACTCCACAAACTATTCAGGATGCTTACAGAGAGAGGGGGAAAACTGCAAACTTTGAGAGGTTACACGAGGAATCACTAATTGAAGAAAAGATTAAACACACTGGGAAAAAAAGCTCAAGGCTCCCATGTCATCTTTGCAGTCACATTCATATTCTCAAAGAGTAATACAGCCAGATTCACAATAGCTATAAATCTGTGGAATGCTGCACCTTTGAAGTAATCACCCTGCTTTAGAGAGAATGCAGTCAAGTGGGTAAGTGACTTTTCTAGGATCACATAGCTAATTAGGTGACAAGTCTAGGACAATAAGAACTCAAGTGTCTCGACACCCCGTCTGATGCCCTACCACACCTGAAAAATCACAAGGTCTGCATCTTCCAGCTTCTTCTGTTCAGCCACAATATCTGAGCTCAGACGGCCTTCCTTATAAGCTAGACTAGACTCATCAGCATACTGAAAGTTCTCAGGGTCCTTCAGTTTACCTGCAGAGAGGAAAAAGAGGCTGAGGCCAGAGGGACCAAGGCGGGGCAGAGAACCCACAGGTGAGAAGTTCCACAAAGACCTAATTAAAGGGGAAAGCCACTCCTACCTGTGATGTCCTTTCTGGAGATAAGGGGATTGAAGTTCATGGCATACAGGTCCGACACAACGACCTCCCATCCTTTCTTCTTCAGTGTCTCTACAGCAGCCTCCTTCATGGCATAGTTGAAGGACGTCCTCTCTGAGTGAGCCAGTATGATCAGTGCTTTTCTGGCTATTTAGACACACACAATGCACACAGAGAAAATCAGTTACCAACCAGCAAAGCTTCAGCTAAATGGAGCTGAGCCCGGATCCATCATGGAAGAGGCAACTGTTAGACATGGGGTTATGCAACCATCCACTGCAGCCAGAAATATATTTTCTCCTTAAAAGTACCAATGAATAAAGGAGGCATTTAACTCACTGGGAAAACAGTGGCTAATTTAACCAACGGTGTGGGCATACTTAATCAACCATCTGCATGAAAATAAAATTATCCCCTTAGAAAACGAATAAAAGGTGTTACAAGTCAGTAGAGTGGTTACCCTTGACGGGGGAAGTAACTGGAAGAACACAGAGGGGGCTTCTGGGGTGCTGCCAATGTTCTGTTTCTTGCTCTGGGTGCTGATCACACAAGCATGTGTTCAGTTTGTGAAAATTCACTTAGAACTTGTGCACTTTTCTGTGTGTCTACTGTAGTCAATAAGAGCTTTTGTTATTAACTATCCCACTAACACACCACAGACAGCAATAATTTCCCAGCAGATTAAAGATCTAAATTTTTTTAAAATGAAACTATCAGAACAGTATGGAAGGAAGGGGAGAATTTGCATAACCTCAGGATAAAGAATGCTTTTTAAGAAAGACTAGAGATTCAGAAACCATGAAGTTGAAAAGCCTGACAAATAAAGCCACATAAAAATGAAAAATTTTTGTTTACCAAAAGGCACCATAAACAAAGTCAAAAGACAATCAACTAGGAGAAGATATCCGACAGTCTTATCACAAAGAGTTAAAATCCCAAAGAATGCCTACAAACAATTAGAAACAGACAGACAATGCAAAAGAAAAATAAGTCAAGGATCTGAACACACTATTCGCAGAGGAGAAAATGCAAATGACAATAAACAAAAGAAAATGTACCCTGACTGGCCTGTCAAGAAAAGCAAATTAAAATAAGACACCATTATTCACCCATTGGATTGGCAAAACACTTTAAGACAAGTAACACTGAGGGCTATTAAGACTGCAGGAAGGGGCCTGGCCCTGCGGCCTAGTGGTTAAGTTCGGCAGCTCCACCTCAGCGGGCCGGGTTTGGTTTCCAGGCTCGGACTCCACCACTCGTTGGTGGCCATGCTGTGGCAGCAACGCACATACAACTTAGAGGAAAATTGGCACAGATGTTAGCTCAGGGCAAATCTTCCTCGGCAAAAAAAAAAGACTGCAGGAAGACTGGCACCTTGCCAGTGGGAATATGAATTGTCTCAGCCTTCGGGGAAAGTAATCAGGTTGAATCTTTTAAAATTCTGAAGGCACATAAATCTTTGATCTAGCTGTCCAACTTTGGGGACTCTGTTCTACAGACTGAAAGCATCAGGACATAAGGATATATGAGCAAGGATGTGTCCTGGACCATTCTTTTCATTGGCAAAAATCAGATATAACATGACTGTCGATTTATGGGGAGCATTTGAATAAATTATGGTACATACACACTACAGAATATTTTGCTGTTAACAAGAATGAGTTAACTCCGTACAGTCACCCAGAAAGATATCCATGACATATCGTTAAATGATAAAATGAAGCGAATGTGAATCCCTTGTTTTTTTTTTGGTGAGAAAGATTAGTCTTGAGCTAACATCTGTTGCCAATCCGCCTCTTTTTGCTAAGGAAGATTGGCCCTGGGCTAACATCCACGCCCATCTTCCTCTACTTTACATGTGGGACGCCTGCCACAGCCTGGCTTGATAAGCGGTGCATAGGTCACGCCCAAGATCCTAACCTGCAAACCCAGGGCCACCAAAGTGGAGAATGAAAACTTAACCACTACGCCACCGGGCCAGCCCCCAGCTGCGGGAATCCATTTTTATAAAAAAGAAAGAAACTACACATATGTAGGTAGATTTGCAGTATATTGGGTATGAGAGAAAAAAGATGTGGAATGATCACATGAAACTGTTAATAGTTTTCTTAGATCACTAAGAGATGGCTAGAGGGGAGAGGCAGAGGGGAAAGATACACTTTTTCTTGGACCTCCTCTCTATTAATAAAGTTGTTAGAAAAAGCACGCTTTACTTTTGCAATAACAGCATACAATGGGTGCTTACTATGTGCTGGGTGCTGTTTTAAGGGCTCTGCATCCTTTTCAATTGTCATGACAACACCAGGAGGCAAATACAATTAGTATCTCCATAGTATAGAGGAGGAAAATAAGACACAGAAAAGTTAAACAAGTGACCCAAGTTTTCACAGCAAGTGGCGAAGCCAGAATCATCTAAAACTATATAGACCTAGAGAAACCCCTGCAACAGTGTGCAGGGTATGGGGCAGAGCACCAGAGAAAGGAATTTTCTCCACCATTTCTCCTACTAACTGGTGTCCCTCCTTCACACCTCACTCACTCTTAACCTTGGCGACTGTGGGCGGAGCTGGAGAGAAGACACTGCACCTTTTTGCATTGTTGGAAGAAAATTAACTAGAAAGGCACATTGAAGCCTTTATAGTTTTCCGTTTTATTATTAACCACACCTGGCATGGACAGCGCCTTTGGGTTAAATTCAGCCAGGCAAAAACTTCAGGCCCTGCATGCCAGAAAAGAGGATTTCCAAGCTTGGTCCTGGAGTTTCAGACTATGTAAAGTCAGAGTCGTTGGAATGTGAGTTTGAGGAGCATTTAAATGCTGTGGAAGTGATTCTTCTGCTTCGGACGGCTTGGGAAAAGGGAAAGGAATTCCTGAGGCTGCCTCAACCAATTCCCACCCCTTTCTTTTTTTTTTTTTTATTTTTTTATTTTTTTTATTTTTTCCCCCCAAAGCCCCAGTAGATAGTTGTGTGTCATAGCTGCACATCCTTCTAGTTGCTGTTCCCACCCCTTTCTTATCAGCTCATGAACTCAATATGATTGGGAGCAATGTGAGTATAGCGAGCTCTGCCATGCACTTTCCTTGTGACTGACCTTTGCATCAGTCACATCAATGATTACCAAATATTGCTTTGTCCATTTTTATTCTCTCGGCTTACTTCTTATCTATCTATCTATATTTTTTTACTTCTTATCAACATTAACAAGCATTTCCTAAGTAGTAAAACCTAAAGGCGCTCCCCAGAAAATGAGAAAGTTAGGACATCTACCCCTGCTTTCAAGGAGCCCACCATGTGCTGGCTATGGGCACGCCTGTGACCTCCAAACATAAGAAAAGAAAGACGAGACGCAAACAGGAAGAACATATTTGCAAGAAATATACCCAACAAAGCTCAGTATCTGGAATACATAGATTCCGAAAACTCACCCAGTCAAAGAATGATCGCAGGTCATGAAAAGGCAATAAGAGAACAGTCACTCGCAGTTAACAGAACACTCATGCTATTTGCCAGGAGTAAAGGGTAAATCAGGATATTTATCATGCAAACATCATAATTCCAAGTCACTCGTTTCCAGGTCATTTTTCGTGGACAAACTTGAGTTTTTTGGACTTGGAGGGTTCAGTTTCCCTTCCTGCCACTTAACTAGCTACACGACAAGTCTGACTTTCTCAGAACTTACCCTAAGAAAGACGATAAGACACATACATAAGTAACTAATGGCCTGAGCCTGATGGGAGAGGCAAGTGACAGAGTTCCACAGAGGAACTTAGGGCTGTTCCCCTGTTCACTTAGGGCTGGCGATGAGGAGAGGCCTTCAGCAGGAACTGCCATTTGAGCTGAGTTTTCAAAGACAAATGAGATTATGATCAGTACCCCTAGTTTAACACTCACATCTGCTGGTCATGCACGCCATTTATCTAATAGAAGCGGCCGTCTCTAACAGAGCCAAGCCCATCTTTGTTAACACATCTCTCTCCCCGCGCTAGTTCACTTCCAGATCTCAGTCCCTATGAAATACGCTCCAGTTCATCCTCACTTCTCCATGTCCTGAAAGCCCTTGTTTCTTCCCCACCATCCTAGGTCTTCTATCTCCACCCCAAGTCCAGACCAGCCAACCTTCCTTCTCCCCCTGAAATGCTAATGTTCTCCCTAACCCAGCCTCCCAGTCTCTCCACCACGGTTTACTGAGCACCTGCTATGCACAGGCACTGCTCCAGGTGCTGGGGATACATCCGTGTACAAAACAGACACAAACCTTTCCCTTCATGGAGAATACATTCTGGTGGCCAAAGCATCCCGACCGTCTCTTGGGAGCTGACCTCTGTCCTCATCTATTGCTCTGACATCCCTACAACTCTCTGCCTTCAACCTCAGGCCACTCTGAAACCAAGAGTTTTCACTAACCTTCCAGAATAAACTGTACTCTGTCGACCTGCAGTTTCATTGATGACCAACAAAGAACTTAGTGACAAAACAGATAAAGCTGGCAGAGAGAGAAAGGGATTGTGGTACATCACTTTAATGTAAACCATGTCTAGAAATCTTCAACAGTAAAGCCATATTACCCACATGATCGTTTTGGCAGGAAGAATAGCCATCAAGGAATACCTATTCGAAATATAATAAGGGGAGGCCCTCAAATCAGTTTCGTGCATTCTGCTTCTGCCCTCTGGACTCACTGGATACCTCAAGGCACATGCAGGTGAGACACACACATCTGTTAGTTGCAAACAAATGCTCTGAATGCTTCAGTTAACCTCAAGATTTGGTTAGCAGGATACAGCTAATACTGGTTATACAAGATCCAAATCTTCCCATTTTGTCTCATATCCACTCTCCCCCCCATTTTTTGTCTAAGTTACAGCTTCCAACATGCATACAAGAAGCCTTGTCAGCTACCCTGCAGTCTCTCCCAGACGCTTCTGCTCTAGGCTTCTAGAAACTCTGGGTGGACTTCCAACCCCCAGCTCAGTGCTTTTCTCAGAGATTCTAACTGTAGTTTGTCAACTGCAAAAGCAATCTCTTCCCAACCACTTACTTTTAGCAAGATGAGATTCTGTGTGTGTGTGTGTGTGTGTGTGTGTGTGTGTGTGTGTGTGTTTTCAAAACGCAAAACTAAGTTCAGAGACAAGGAAATTACAAAAAGGCAGAGTTCTGCCCCCGTTGAGGAAACAGCTCTCTCAATTTTAGCGTGGTCCAATCTCAGAGTAAGGCTCCCTGGGAAACAGAGCTCTCTGCCCCTGCAGGTGTTGCAGTGGGCCCAGGATGCCTTAGAGGTCTTGAACGCATCAGATAAAGTTGTGGTGACCTCTAAGGTCCCCTCTGGTTGACGGCAGAGAGGGGAGGCTGTCACTCAACATGGACCCCGTACCAGATTAGGTCTGTTCAGTCCAAGGGTCACAGTTGAAAATGCCTCCTTGGCCAGGCAGCCTGGGACTGGGTCTGGTCTCTGTCAAAACGAAGGGAGCAGCTTCCCCAGCTCCAGCCCACCCATCGCCAGATCTTTCAATTCTCCTCCGGAAGCTGGGAATACACATTTTTAAGTGAAATAGCCTATATTTATTTTAAATGTTAGCAACTTATTCCAAAATGTTTCAAATATTACTAAGCCCAAAAACAAGGTGTCCCAGTGGGCCAGATTTGGCCTCTGAGGGCCGGTTTCCGACCTGTTTTGGGGGGAATTTTTGCTTCCAAGGTCAAGTCTCTACTCAATGCCCGTGCTCAGTCCCTGAGTTTCTGGGGGTGGGGTAGAAACAGGAGCTCCCCCTCTCCCGGCGTCTGGTCAGGGCTCATCCCGGAACCCTAATGCCTTCACTTTTCCAGTTTTGAGTCAAGGAAAAAAACTCAGGGCGGAGCCCCCATGGGCTCCTGCAGAACTTCAGGAGCTGGGGGCTGCGGAGCTCGGGGGGGGGGGGGGTGCACTTACTAGCCATGGCTCCGGCGGCGCGCTGATTGGCTGGGCTGCTGGTGGCCGGGATGTCGCCTGTACTGCCCGCTGAGCTCCCTTTACTTTATACCCTGCACGACTGGGCAGGGCCCCTGGAGCCTGGGATGGGGTGACGGTCAGGGGGAAGGGCGGGGGGCGGGGCAGCAAGAGCGGAGCCGGCCAGGCGGGCCCTGGGGCGCAGGGCGGAGCACGCTGGCTGCAGTTCCAGGAAGGAGGCGGAGTCAGGGGGCTGGAGTAGGGACCCCCGAGACAGGGAAGAACGGTGCCCTGGGGGTGGGGGATGCGAGCGGCCCCGTGGCTCTGGGTGTAGGTGGGAGGCATGCCTATCTGGTTCCTGTCCTGATGCCACCTGGGGACACGAGAAGGAAGTTTCCGATGGAGTCCGGGGTTCAGGAGGGCACACCCCTCGTTTTTTCCTCGCCTAGTGGTGGGGGGAAAGTCTCCTCCCCAGGAACCGGGCGGACAAAGAGGAGGGTGCGGAAGACTGCGGTCCTTTAGGCTCAGATTCGCTGAGTCACTGTGATTCGGGACTTCGGTTTTGAGGGCTGAGGCGAACAATTCCAAGACAACCTGGGCAGCTTGCTCCTGGGAAAGTGAATTTGTTTCTTCCTTTACACAGAACGCATTTCCCTGTGTGCAAACCCCTAGGGGCGCCTCCTAGTCTGGGAACTAACTGGTTTTGCCTCCGAATACCTAGTCCAAGGCTGGTCCGGGAGATAGCAGTACCTGTACGTATAGGGGAAGCATTTAAAGAATAGCCAAGACAGGTTAAGTTTAGTGGCTTTGCACAAAGTTCTACTTAGGACAACTGAACAGAACAGAGCAAAACGTTGTACATCTGTGTCAACCTACAAAAACAAACCAGTTTAAGAGGCAAAGCCTTTATTTTGGGATCAAAGAATTGCAGATGGGGAGCACAGATTCAGGTAGAAACTCTGGGTCCTGCTCGGGAGTTCAAGTCAGGGGCTTTTAAAGGCAGAGAAGGGAGGTTGTATTACAGAGTATTAATTGGAGTTGGAGGCAGAGAGCTAGTCTTGGGTAAACACTGATGGACTATTAATTCCACCTTCAGAAAGTCCACATCCTCAGGTTTTGTGATCAGGATGTTCATTCGCCCGCTGACTGCTCAAACAATGGGTTATAAAACAGTTGCTAGTGTGACCCAGTCCAAAAGTTTGGCCCAGTCTGAGCTTCAAGACAGCAAAGCAGTTCTTCTGAAAGGCAGCTCCCACTGCGTTTTAAAATGGCTCCACTCTAGTCAATTTTGACAAAAGTAAAAGTTATAGTAAAGTCTCCATTCTACAGAACAGAGAGGAGACATACTATCAAAAGGCGAAGGAAAAAGAAATAGAACTTTAAAGTTCACCATCAGAAAAATTACAAATGATAACTAAGAAAATTCAGAGAGAAGGAAGGTGGGAATTACACCCTTACTGTGAGATACCTCAGGGGCAAAATTTAAAGAGGTGCCAGAAAACTCAGTCATCCAGATAAATAACACTTTAATGTGGTTTAAAAAATATATCAATTTGGACACAGACAAAAAGTCATGATAGACAAAATACAAAAATGTTAGAGACAGGGTCAGTAGCAGTGCCAACCACATTGAGCCTAAAGCCAAAGGAGAAATCAGTTAATACTGATCCTTGACTTCGTTAAAAAACAAAATTCAACTAAGTAAATTTTAAAGATCTAATTGGCTTTATTCAACAATTCATGAATCAGGCAACCTCAATCTAGCAGAGAGAAAGGAGCTCCAAGGAGCCATACAAAATGAAAGACTCTTATAGTCAGAAGGGAGTGGGAACAAGGAAGTTATACTAGACAAAAAGGATTGGTTATTGCAAGGTTACTTTCCTTTAGGGGATGGTGGGGGTCTATCAGGCAGATTACCTAACTAGTGCTGATCAGGCAATTCCTAATTGGTTGGTTTAAGATTCCATTTCTGGGAGAGCTGAAAGTAATTAAGTCCTGGTTTGGTGATGTGGGGCTTGGCACCAGCCATTCCATTTTGGGCCTGTTGTCTTGTTTTTGACAATTTAAGATATTAATATTTTTTCATCCTAGACATTTTTTCTTCATTACTTTTGACTTTCAAAAATATTGCATTAAAATATCTTGATTACTGAGTTTTCTGGCATCTCCTTTAGTTTTGTGCCTGGGGCAAGTGCTTCATACCTTCTCATCCTAATCCTAGCCTTGCCTGTAAATAAACTAAATCTGTTTTTTCAGAATACAAAGTATATTGATTCTAAAGTTGATAAGTCAAGAAATAGAGGCAAAAGCACATTATTAGAATGTAGTAACCACCGGAACCATTAACACAATGTTTTTAAGTGTTTCTGATACCAAACCTCTTAATCTCAAATTCATGTGCCCCATGTATAGCAAGCCAAACACCGAGACATCGGTGCTTGGAGATGGGGAAAGATTTATTTAAATTGGCCAAAACTAGTAGGCGGGAGCCTGGGTTCGCTCAAATCGGCGTCCCCAAGAACAGAAAGCAGGGGGTTTTATAGAGCTAAGGGGCTTGACAGGAGGAGCTTCAGGGAAACAAAGGGGTCACTCCGGATAAGCCCCTGGGCATTCTGACTTCTGGGTTTCAATGCTGCTGTGGGCTGGCCATTCAGTGATGGCAACCTCCCAGAAGGCATTCTCTTTCTTCTGCAAAAGAAGCTCACAAATCCTCAAAGCTCCTGAGTCACCCCTCAAGTTAAACAGGAAAAATAGCAGATTGGTTTAATATCTACAGTACCCCTCAGGTACCTGGCTTCATTTCTTCTAGGAGTGGAAAATGACAGGAGATGACTATTATTTACATGTATTTAAGAATTAAAACCGTGCTTTAGGGTGTATAGAAGTTCAGTGGAGAATTCACTGGTCAGTAAGAGTTTTTTGGGGGGACATAAAAATTTCAGCTGGGCCATTTTTAAAGTGGTATAAAGCCAACTTTAAAACAGTATAAAAGAACATTTTTAAAAAGATCTAGGCAGCACTGTCCAGTAGAACTTTCTATATCTGGGCTGCCCAAATAAGGTAGCCACAAGCTACATGTGGCTACTGAGCACTTGAAGTGTGGTCAGTGCAACTGAGGAAGTTAGGTTTTCATTTTAATTAATTTAAATATCTACTGTGCACAGCACAAGTCTAGAGTGTGCAGAAAGATCTGAGCTGGGTGTCATAGCTTGAGGAGTCACAGTGTGCTGGCTATGCTATCTCCTCTGTGTTTCCATTCTCCACCCTTCTCTGACTCCTCTATGCCTCTGGAGGCTGACTCTGCAGGTGGCATCACTGGGGCATCCTTGCTCTCTGGCTTCCAGATGTGTCTAGCCAATGGGAGGTATCTGCAAGAGTTTAGAGAGCAGGAGGAGGGAGAAGGTGTTCCACCTCCACTCCCTGCCCTGGAAGAGAGCAGCTCATGTCAGTGGTCCCAACTCTCATGGGACACAATGTCTTGGCTTTGCCTTGAAATACTCCAACAACAACAGCCATAAAAGTGTCAGAAAGATGAAACTGCTACCAAACCAGATTCGTTTTGCCCTTTGCACGAAAAGCCAATCACTGAGATGAAAAGTTTGCAGCAGGGAAAGGGTCTATTCACAAGGCAGCCAAGTGAGGAGATGGGAGAACAAACCTCAAATCTGCCTGCCCAAAAAGGGGAACTAGGGATATTTATGGGGTACAGGGGCAAGGAGGTCTGAAGTGTGGGAATAGATAATTGGAGGTAAGGAGGAATGAGGCAATTGATGATCCGTGCAAGCGTAGTCAAACTTCATGGCTCTTTATTGGACATGTGTTCACAAAATGGTGGTGTTGGCACGATCTGAGCCTGGAGTTTTTAGTTCTCTGATGTTAGGAGTTCACCTATTGGACAGCTGCATAGGCTTAGTTGGTGGGTTGGTGGTCTTAACTGACCTGAACTGGATAGGGGTCGACTCTTAGTTCCTGAGAAAACAACTCAAGCATCTGTTACCATGGTGACCTAGGCATCAGGGATGTTATCTGTGAGGAACCTAGTGAGAGTCAGATAACATATTGCCTAATGAGCACAACCAACAATGGGTGAGTGAACAACTAAAAGCTACAATTAATAACTGCCTAAAAAAAATTTAGTTACTAGCTACCTAATTGTTAATGGCTAACTATCCACTGGTTTCAGTCCTCCCTATTCTTTGGCCATTCCTCATTCTTGAGGGATTCAGGGTGATGACTGATCTAGCTACTTCCTGCTGAATTGGAGTGTAGTTCTGGGTTAGAGGAATGGAACTGTTTAGCACTCATTTGGAAATACTCTCTTATTCCCAACTTCAGGTTGACATTTTGCGTTATATTAGAATTTTTGTATGTTCAACAGTTTTGGTACAGCATCTAAAGGCACATTTTATAATCAAGTATCCAACCAGAAGGATAAGAAGTATAGGCAACCCAAATTTTAATAGTCCCTGAAGAATAGATATAATCCCTTGGGGAATCCAAGAGAATAGTCCTGAAAACCAGTTTAGACCTGGCACCTTTGGGGATACTTGTTGTACCCAGATAGCTTGTTGTCTGATTGGGTAGGTGGCCCAGCTAGACTCTGTATGTGATATGTTTATAGGTTACATTTTTAACTTTTAAGGGGGAGAGTCCAGTGACATTGTAAACCAGAATTATCAAGGGGTGCCCATGGTCATGCACTGAATATGGTTTGGGATGACATATCCAACATCTAGAAAGATTACCTGCCTTTGCCAACATCTGATAAATTTTAATTGTCGAATTGTCCTTCCAGGCTTGGAGGGTCAAAGTGAACAAAGAAGCATAACAGAAAAACAAAAGGGCAATCATGTTTATAGTCCAATTTGTGGTCTTTATCTCACTGAAGCTATAATAGAAACTATTGATTAGGTTTACAAAGGATGTCTTTTAGCCCTTCAGGTAGTACACAACATATCGTAAGCAAGTAGAAATTTAAGAAAAGACAAGTAAATAGTCTAACAAGTAAGGTAAGAACCTAGGAGTCATTCATTACTTATCTTTAGGAGACTGTCTTCTGAACAGCAACTTGAGGTCTGTCAGGGGTTCACTTGTCC